TGTAATTCACTCCTGCTGAATAGCTGATGCAGAAAATATCCACCAGTGGACACCACATCGCCGACAGGAAGGTTATAGTGGGTTTTGCACCGGGCCAAAAGAAAGGTTTAGTGTCCGTTGGTGTAGTTCATTTCTACACCAGTAGGAAGAACGAAAGAACCTAATATGTCAAACAACATGGAAATGTAATTTTTAATAAACCGCCTGCACATTTTTCTTAAATTGGCAGGATTAACGATTAATAAGTATTTCGCATAAAAATGTCATCAAAGATGGAAGGCTATGTCGCAAACCCCTTATATTCACCATCTCTGCGAAATACAAGTTTTTTTGCTGATATCTTGATTAGTTTTAGGTGTATATATGTTGAAAGTCAGTATCCAGTAGTTGTATAGACTCGTAAGTCCGCATTAATTAACTCTTAGCCATCACGATTAACCTAACAGCAAGCTATTGCGAATAAATATGATTTTCTAACTATGCAACCAAACATAATTTTAAAAATAATATGGGCAAAATTTAAAAAACTGTATATGTAATAATTATACAGTGTGGGCCACCGGTAACGCCTCGGTCTGTGGGGCCAAAATTATTTGACTTTTCTAAAATCTGTTTCCACATTCCAATTATACAGGGTTTTCCAAGATAAATATCAAAGTTTTATATGAAAATCGTATTAATTTATATGACCTGTATAGTGCAAAAGAAACCACTGAAAAACAATTTTTTTGCAGTAAAAGGTTTTCGGTATTAGTCAAAATCTATGCTAAATGTACTACTTTTTTCAATTATAAATAAATCTGTACAGGGTGAGTCCAAACTTAAATACATAATTTTCTCATTCAATTAAAGTTTAATTTGAGAAACAATTGAAAAACAATTTTTTTGCAGTAAACGGTTTTCGGTATTAGTCAAAATATATGCCAAATGTACTACTTTTTTCAATTATAAATTACAGGGTGAGTCAAAACTTAAATACATAATTTTCTCATTTAATTAAATATTAATTTGAGTTAGGCATTCCCTATACTTGAAGTTAATAATTCTGGGAGATTTTTAAATTTAAATGACACAAAATATAATTCAAAAAATAGTTTAATTTTAACCAGCCACTCGTGAACAGGAAATAGACTGTTTGTTAATTAGTTATTAGAATTTAACCAGCTGTAATTTATAATCGACTAAAAAAGTTTTTGACAATTTCTAATAGGACTAACATTTAGTTAAAAATAAATACCAACAGCAACCAATTCTTTGTAACCTCAACTTTGTAACCTCAATACTGATAGTTCGTTATTACTAACGTCATTAGTGCAATATTTATGTTTAAAAATTCTACCCAATTTTTTAATATAACTTTTAGTCGTGAATAAGAGAAGTATTTCGAGTGTTACTTAAAAAATACTTAGAAATGTTGAACCTTTGAAAGCCACCTTAAGACCTCCATAAATATTATTGACCATTTAAAATCTCTGTTAGGTATACGATATACTCAAGTAAAACTTTAATTAAGATACTTTCACGTGGTGATATAAAATACAGGGTGGTCAATTTAAAAAAATGAGAAAATGATGTATTCGAGTTTTGAATCACACTGTACAGATTTGTTTTTAATTAAAAAAAGTAGTGCATCGGCGTAAATGTTGGCTAATATTGAAATGTCATTCAATTATTTCTTTTGTAATCCGAAGAAGACAGAAATGGTCCTTTTCACAAGGAAAAGGATGAAAATGGAATTAAAATCATAAGACCTATGCTAACATACGGTGCAGTTGTCTGGGTACCGAAAACCCAAAAATTAACAGCTATCCGTAAACTAGAACAAATTTAAAGAGCAGCATGTCTCAACATAACAGGAGCCATGAAAACAACACCAACCAAAGCGATGGAAGTCATTCTTAGTCTCACTCCCCTTGATATTTACATCAAGGAGGTTACTCTGATGACAATGACACGCTTCCGCACGGTTGGAATAGAACCTGATGCAGGATCTGGTGAGGCGAGATGTCACTTTTGGCAGGAGGCGCTCGATACGTTCCCACTGTTTCAAGCGAACATGGACTCCATCTCACCGAGATATATATTCCATAAGCCATATAAAGTTATAATAGAACAAATAGAAAAGCCAGAAGTGGCAGGTACGATTCATATCTACATCGACGGTTCTAAAACAAAACAAGGCTCAGGATGCGAAATATACTCCAGATTCTTAAACCTAAACATAAATTGGGCTGTGAGCAATAGTGCCAGTGTAGTTCAAACAAAGCTAACGGGGATTCTCATAGCAGCAAAAGAAATAACCAGAAATAATATCACTGGAAGGAACATGCTCATCTATACCCTAATAGCACAATATTGTTTCACGAACGTTCCAGAAACATGCACTTGGGACATTAGAAACGTCTCTGTCATGTTTCTTATTTTCCCTCAAACGTACCTGGGATGTTTCTGGCAATGACCATGTCATCATTTGTAACGTATTAGAGACGTTTCACAGAGACGTTTGTGGAACATACTGCGATGTTGCTCGAACGTCTTAGGCAAGTTTTTATACCATTGCTGGAACGTTCCAGAAATGACCTAAACGTTTTTTTAGTAGGATAATAAAATCTATTATCTTTTTTCATAAATTTATTTAAAAAAAATTGACAAAAAAATAAAAATTATTATTTATTACGCTTTGATTCATTTCGTCTATTTCTTTCCAGAGCCCTCTTCAACCGGGCATCTATTTTAATTTCTATTTCTTTTTTGTTTGCCAATTTACCGAATCTGAAAATGTTTTAATTAAATGACAATATAAACAATTGATTTTAAGTTAAAATAATTACCCATAATGGCTTTAGCTATTTTTAACTTGGCGACTTCCTTTTTTCTAGTGCATAAAAACAACTTACACAACTCGTACCATGAGGGGAGCTATGCATCTTCTGATAAATTCACATACATTATTGTTACCTTGGATTTTAAAATACAATACCTAAAATAGTTATTTTTAAAGTTAACAAATAAAGAAATAATGAGTAGAATGTATAAAAGCCACATTTTGTTAAAGGAAATTAAGTTACCTTCTTCATTTTGCCTTGAATAGCTTTCACATAAAACGATTGTTTCTAATTAGCCAAGCCTGGTCAAACTTCGAATTGGAAGTGATTTTTCATGCAGCTTTACCATAGCCCTCAGAAAGTCACCAAATATACACTTCAATCCGGCCTCCTATTATCATTTTTAGTTTAGTTAAAAGTTTATAAAGAAGTTGTTTATTATTTTTAAACTCATGCAAACTTTATTACAAGCGAGGCTAAACACCATTTTATTTTCAACTGTCATCATTAATGAAATGTCTGTCATATGTCAATTGTCATTGGATCTATTATACGGTAGGCGTGTTCCGTTATTACTCCGCGAGCAAATCAAATATGAGGTCTATTCCTTTTCATCTAAAATATCGTTCCATCCATACAATTTGTATAAATGAAACGACATTTTCATAAGTACTGTAGCTCAGTGCTACACTTTCAATGCAAAGAAATAGATTCCATCACGAGGGCTTCTGTCAATAGTGCATTTTTTTTAGCTCGCCGAGGATTAACCGAACTCTTCTGCTGAATCAGATCGTATTTGCTTTGCACTCTTTTTTGAAGGAAATAAGATACATTTGACCTATAGCAGTTGTCTTGTGAAATAAAAAATATTGTTCAAAATGTTCAAATTTAATATTATTGTAGATTTCTGATGATTGCAGTAATTTTATAATTTCAAAATAATATTTAAAACGAAAATAAAATACCTATACATAAATACGATGTTTCTAAAACGTTCTTGTGAAATCATTCCAGAAACGTTCCTTTAGAAACATCGTAGGGACGTACCATTTATGTCAGAAACATACAAACATACATGGAACCTAAATGGGATGTTTCTGGCAGATCGGTGTTATTAGGGTACAGATAGCAGACAAGCACTACTCACCCTGAACAGACCACGAATTTATTCAGGGTTAGTACTAGAATGTCACGAAACTTTGGCCGAAGTATCCATCAACAATGTGGTCACCTTAAGATGGATCAAAGGTCACGCCACATCGAAAGGTAACCGTCTTGCCGATTCACTAGCCAAGAAAGCAGCCAACCAAATACTTTTTGGACCTGGCCCTTCTATTGGCCTGACAAAATCGGTTGTGACAGACCTAATTAAAGAACATTCCCTTGTGAAATTCAAGGAAAGATGGGATGAAACAAGAAACTGCAGAGTTGCCAGGGAGCAAACAAATACTTGACTATGACTATGACTGCGTCCGGTCACAGGCATTCTGAATGGTCATTGCCAAGTACGGAAGCATCTCCATATCATGGGGCTGTCAGAATCAGCACTCTGCAGAGGGTGCTAACAAGAAGATGAGACCATTGAGCATATCCTTTACGATTGCCCGACGCTCTCATTTATTAGAATATTTTTGTTGGGCGAGTATCGGCTAACACCGGCCGATATAAGAGAAGCACCTCTTGGGCGACGTTGTCAACTACATTAAATCTGTAGGCTGGCTCACGAGCTAGGAGGTGCCTATCATCTTAGGAGGATGCACAATGGGCCTAATGAGGCCTAGCCACCCTCCACACGTTACCGTTACAGATATTTCTTTTGTACCAGGTATATAGGTAATTGAAATCAATACGATTTTCATATAAAACTGGTTATAGCGTATGAAATACCCTGTATAATCTCACACTATTTGATATTTTTATAATGGGAGAAGCGAGTGAAATTCAAATATAAAATAAAATACATGGTTTTTCCATTTAAAAAAACTAATTATGATATGTATCACTTTCTTGTAGAACCCTGTATAATATATATTATTTTCAAATTGTTGCCTTTTGCGATATGCATCTTGCTGTGGAAACAGATTTTAAAAAAATCGTATAAATTTTGATTTACAGACCGAGGCGGTACCGGTGGCCCATCATGAATAAATAGCTATGTAGTAATAACTAACTTACCAATATTAGAGCATCTCCTTCAGTTCTGAGCAAAATGGCAGCTTGATTTTCTTCATCTTGATAGAGTTCGCCAATATCATCGTTAGTCTGTAACAAAAAATGTTCATGACAGTTTAAAATGAAAACTTTTCATCATATTCTTTATTTTCCTTATTAAAAAAAAAAGAAAAATAAAGAATTATTTTTTTATTTATTACATTGACTTAAGATTTTCATTCACCATTTTTATATTCGTCTTATATTTATGGCGATATTGAACATTCTGTTTCATAACAACTTTTAAGTTTGGTGATATTTTCTTGACAGGTTCAAGTGTGAACTTAAACTATATGTACATATGTATATTGTGCTCTCTTGTGATTTTTGTCATTTTTGTGATTTTTAGGATTTCTTTGTGATTATTTGTTATTTTTGTTATTTTTTAAGGTTTAGAGTATAATTTGAATATTGAATTGTTTAAACAGGACATTTAGGATGGCGAGGAAATGTGCAATGTGTTAAAATAAATGGAATAAGAAATTACGCTGTCATTCCTTAGGTTTTCAAATATTTATGAGATAAATAAATCTCTTTGAAAGTATAAACAGATGGTTTCTTTATGTGCTGAAAAAAAAGTATATTATAATGTAAAACTACAGTACGTCCCAACATTGTTGGGGCTCGTAATATTATGTCTATGAGGCAAACACGAAACAAACGGGACGCTGCCTACTAAAACGTCTAAACGCGGTAGGCAATACAGTGTTTGTTTTCATCCGATCGATTTTAGACCGAGACAATTCAAATTATAGTGAGTCAAGTATGTGCTTAGTCCAAAAAGAGTGGGACAAATTAGCGCGTGACAAAATATTCAACTACTTATTCTAATTAAAATTAAAAAAAACTTAATTAATTTAGCTAACCTGTGCATAAAAGTAATTCGTTTTTCAACAGAGCATCCATTGGAACAATATATTTATATCAAGTGTTAACTTGTCATACTTTATTTATACCAGGTGCTAACTTGTCTTTGTCGCAGCACGAATTTGTCGCAGCAAATTTTTCACAAGCGGAATTGTCTCGCGCTAAAATGGATCGGACCTTTCCAATCACCTGCAATAACCATATTCTATAGGATTCGTGGGACTCAAGCGTGGCAGCACTCCAACCCTAAAGTGTTACTTGAGTTGAAATGAAAAGCGAGTAAAAGAATATTGACCCAAAACCCTAACTAGACATTAAATCTCATCAAAACTAGTCCAATGGGACTGTTCATATCTTCGACTCACATCGGAATAAAACTTAATATAGATTATTTCGAGATACATATAAATTTGATTACACAATTAGTCGAGTTTAAGATTTGTTAATACTTAGATACAGTGTTCTCCTTGAGAAAATCCATTTAATCATGGCTCAGTTATTCTCGAGTTTTTTTTACTCGATCCATATTATTAATCAGAACTAGTGCAGCGTTAAAACACTTAGTTAATAAATAATTGGTTTTGTTTGTTGTTAGTTGTTAGCGCGAAACGTTAAAGAATTTATACATGTATAAGCGTAAATTTTGTAAAATGTGGAGCAAAAAACTACGGCAATGGTGTAAAATCAGTGTAGTTAAATGTAATATATTTAATAAAGATAGTAATGAGACATTGTCAATGTTTTGCTCTCTCGTGGGTTTTAAGTCTATTAAAAACGGTTTAGATTTTGTTTAAAATATTTACAGCAAACTTGTATGTTTAGCCAAAAGGAAAACAATTTGGTATTTGAGATCTATTCTTTAGCAAACTACTTAAAAAACATTACAGGATAACTTTTTTTTTTGCTATTGCCTTTTTTAAATCAGCTTTATTTTGTGTTAATTTTTCAAGTGCTATTCCCCTTGCTATAAAATATTTCAGTAGGTATGTGAACGTATGCCCCAGTAGCATTGGCAAGTTAAAAAGTGGAAAAATAAAAAAAACAAGTCTTTTATATCTCACAAGAAATTTGTATTTAAACGGCGACCGGTTTCGAAGTCTGTTCACTTCATCATCAGGCACACCTAGTCGGTAAGAGAGGAGGGGGAATTTGTGAGTTTTAAATTGTTAGCAAAATTAAAAAATGATGGAAATATTGATTTAAGTTAAGTGAAATTAACAAAACTAATTTACTAATACCACTAATATTTATTTATTCACACTAACAAAAAATTATTAATCAAATTAATGTACTAACGGAATGAAACAAAACGAATATTGAACAAATATGTTAGAACAAACCATCAACACCAAAATGGTAAAAGATAAAGAAATGACTATATAATATAATAAAAACCATAAAAAACTCACCATAATCTGTTATCCACTAGGAATAAAACTACTGGATTACAATCTTGAAGGAATCGAAACGAACTGGACATTTATTATTTTTTAAACAAAGCATTGGTATTTGTCAAGGGTTAAAAACATATTAAAATTAAAACGTCACATGGTAAAATATCAATAATCAAATATTAATGGGCCTACATTATAAAGTCAAAGCTTGACAAAGTTTTTAATGTTTAAGAAGCAAAATGGAAACTGGAACTGAAACTGAACATTGAACGGTTTAAAAGATTCGAATTTGAAAAACAATTTTATTTCTAGAGGTGCTGCTCTCCAGTAGGAAGTTGAATATCCTATTTTAGTAGCAGACTTTTTGGATCATTTTAGAATATTAGTAGATATTAGTAATAAAAAACTTATAGATACTACAACTAAATTAAACTCTAATACTCATCCAACTCCAAATTACATTGCTTCAACGGTATCTGCGTTGAATCCCAATCAAAAAGATAGTGAAATTATTAAAAAATTCCCTAATTTACTTTGAAACAAACCAAATTTTTTAAATCCTTTACCAGAAGTCAGCCAGTCCATTGTAGCAAAAGGTACTCCAGTGACGGCAAGACCTAGTAGGTTACTACCAAATAAGTTAAAAATAGCAATACAAGTAATTTTAAAAAACCGACTTCAAAATCGTGCAGATGCACTTAAAATTTTTATAGATCATCAGATCCTGACCAATTGTATATGATACTGCCCATGGGGTATCCCCTTTCTAACAAAAAAGAATCATAAAAATCGGACAACATGGTAAATAATTATCGCTAAAAATACATTAAAAATGAAGAGTTTGATGATTTTCTCATAAACCCCATCATTAGATCAAATTTATATGGGACCACCCCTAAGGTACCCGCTTTCTAACATAAAAATTATTGAAATCGAAAGTAGTAAAGAATTATCGCTGAACATACATAAAAAAATATTCTGACTAATTGAGAACCTCCACCTTTTTTGAAGTCTGTTAAAAAACGACTTAAAACATATAATGGAACTTGAAATTTGTCAACCTTCATAAAGTGCATGGGCATTAAATATTAAAGTGAAGACATAGGACAAAAAAAATGGTTGTTTATAAAAGAATAGACATTTTGATAAATAAACAGGCAAATTTAGTTTAAAAGTAGAAAAGAAGAAGAAGTCTTGATTGAAAATATGTGTTTAAATTATTTTTATTTAGATTTTTATATTTTTGAATTTTCGATAATTGTTTAAGAAGTTTCACCTTTTAGATACCTACTACACTATTAACTATTTAATTTATGCATCGTATATGTGACAATGTTGCACCTTTGTATGTTAAAGTACCATTCACATTATTCAAACATTATTTTGGTTTTAAAAACTTTTGTAATTGTTGAGTAAGAGTTTTCGTCATTCAAATTTAATTCTGAGTATGATGTTAATGGGAAGAGGACGTGCCCCAATAAGATATATTGACTCCTTATAATTTGTCGTCGGTTAGATTTTTATTTTACGTCTTTATCAAAGGTGAAAATTCATATTTCTTATAAAAAATGGTACAAACTATGAAGTTTACGTATTAGTTCACATTTAAAATGTTAGGTGTATATATACAACACAATACATATGGTTCTTGTTATTTCGTTAAAACTTAAAAAAAATTTCAAATTTAGTGACCAATATCCTCTTTAAGATAGTAATATTTTGACATGAGCTGACATTTAAACAATTTAACCAATAGCGCGGTATCAGGGTTAGTTGTAACTTTTATCCCTTTATTTCTTTACGCCAATGGAACAAATATTTAATTTTTAATTTTCTGTTCATTTTTAGTTAAAAAAGTAACTTTTATCGAGCTAAAATGACCGGTGTTGTATTCAATATTTCTAAATTCTAGTCAAGATGGCACGTGTCAAATATTCTGCGTGTATTTCAAAAGATCTTGGTAGATCAAAGTTGAAAAATATGCGTTTTTGATTTATGGCTAATTTTGAATTTTGATTTCAAATTTTAATACCCTGTATCTCGATAACTAAGCCCTTTAAGAGTCCGTGTTCCTATATCAAACTCATCAATTTTATATATATTGTTACTAGTCATTACTACAATTTTAATCTAAAAATCTTACAAACTAACTACTTATCTAAGAAGTCCCCATTGGGCTGTCTTAATTGTTTCTATAGGAAAGAATCAGTAGTTGGTGTGAAGATTCATTACACTGTTTTACACTAGCACTAACATTAAAGTTCACTGCACTAGCTCAAATGGCTTCTTCCTTTTCAGCCTTCTGTTGAGTGTCGAGTTGTCCAGTAATTGCAACGCTTCTTAGTTGACGTGGGAGTGGAGTTGACCCTCATGTTTCGCAGCAAACCCCTTTATTTCTTCTTCGATTGTTGGCATCTTCAGGTCTCCATGAAGATAATCGTTTCGGTAGAACCAAGGTGCATCAACAATGCATCTTAGGACTTTATTTTGGAAAACTTGTATCATGTTGATATAACTTTTGCTGGCACATCCCCATAGCTGTATGCCATAAATCCAGATTGGTTTTAGGATTTGTTTATAAATCAGCAGTTTGTTGTGCACTGACAATTTGGAGCTAATACATTTTTATGAATTTAAGTTCAAGTTCTTTACGCTTTTTTTTATGTGCTCTTTCCATTTAAGTCTTACATCTAGGTTCATCCCTAGGTATTTGGCCGAATCGTGATGGGGAATAACGTCATTGTTTATTCTTATTTGTTTCTGTTCATTTGGTCGAAGAGTAAAATCAAC